TTTTTTTTTTTTTTAAGACAGAGTCTTGCTTTGTTATCCTCGGCAGAGTGCCGTGGTATCATAGCTCACAGCAACCTCAAATTCTTGGGCTCAACCCATCCTCTTGCCTTAGCCTCCCAAGTAGCTGGGACTACAGGCACCTGCCACAACACCTGACTATTACAATATATTTTTAAAAATTAGCTGAGCACTGTGACTCACACCTGTAGTCCCAAATACCCAGGAAGCTAAAGTAGGATGATCACTTGAGCCTGGGAGTTCAAGGCTATAGTGAGCTATGGTTGTACTACTGCACTCCAGCCTGGGCAATACAGTGAGACCTCATCTCTAAAAAAATAAGATATAAATTGTGGTAATGTTGCATAATTCCACAAATATATTAAAAACCATTAAACTACACACCTTAAACAGATTACATCTCAATAAAGTGAACAAACAAAAAAATCTAACCCAAAGGACCAGAACTTTAAATTTTTCCAGTGCTGATGCCTAACAGAGGATCTAACACACAGTACATGCTTGTTAATAAATGTAAATTTATTAGTGGATGAACAAATTGGCCTCTCTGTGCTATAAGCACCTGACACTTCAGCACACATAGCCACACATGCCTGCATACACACTTCCCTTGAACCCATGAGCCCAAATGTATTTCTGGAAAAATACTGACTTCACCCCCCCCCAAAAGTCACTGGTGACAAACAGAAAGTGCCATCTGCTTCTACCCGTAGAACTAACCACAAGCAGCCCCACTAGGGCTGCCTTGTACTGCTTGGGTTGCTTTGTCTTAAATATATCAAGTACCAGAAAGCATCAGAGGAGGGGCACCTACTAGGATCTAGGAGAGGGGAGTGGGAAGCAGTAACAAAGAAAACTAGAACCCATATGCAGCAGGGTAGTCTTACAGAACATAAAGGTGGGACAGAGTGTCCTTGGTTTCTTTGTTTGTTTGTTTGTTCTTGTAGAGACAGAGTCTTCCTTTATTGCCCTCGGTAGAGTGCCGTGGCGTCACACAGCTCACAGCAACCTCCAACTCCTGGGCTTAGGCATTTCTTTTGCCTCAGCCTCCCGAATAGCTGGGACTACAGGTGCCCACCACAACGCCCGGCTATTTTTTTGTTGCAGTTTGGCCGGGGCCGGGTTTGAACCCACCACCCTGGATATATGGGGCCAGGGCCCTACCCACTGAGCCATAGGCGCCGCCCAGTGTCCTTGTTTATATTATAAAGTATTTTGAAGTAGTATGGCCTGATGATTTCACCTAAAGGATTTCAGGTAGACTACAATTAAAAAATATATAGAACACAAATAAAACAGGGCTATTAAGATGAGGATGCAGGGCCACACAGTACTATAATCCTAGTACTCTAGGAGGCCGAGGCAGGTGGATTGCCTGAACTCACAGGTTCAAGACCAGCCTGAGCCAGAATGAGACCTTGTCTCTAAAAAAAAAAGAAAAATAGCCAGGCTTTGTGGTGAGCACCTGTAGTCCCAGGTACTCGGGAGGCTGAGGCAAGAGACTCACTTAAGAGCTCAAGAGTTTGAGGTTGCTGTGACCTATAACACTACGGCACTCTACCAAGGACAACAAAGTGAGACTCTATCTCAAAAAAAAAAAAAAGACCAGCTTGAGCAAGATCCCATCTCTACTAAAAATAGAAAAATTAGCTGGGCATTGTGGTGAGCACCTATTGTTCCAGCTACTAGGGAGACTGAGGCAGGAGGATCACTTAGACCCAGGAGTTTGAGGTTGCTGTGATGCTGTGGCACTCTAGCCTGAGCAACGGAGTGAGACTCTGTCTCAAAAAGAAAAGGATCATGCAAGAACTGGAAAACTGGGTGTGTGCCATCACTGGGGAGGAGCTAACAAACTCAAAGGAATAAAAAGATAATACGTCAAGTTGCATGGCACCCCAACCCCAGTGATACAAACAGCCTAGTCATCAAAGGAATAAACCTTCATGCCGGCACTGAATCCTAGGAGAAATCTGCTGGTCTGTTTGTCCTCACGTACGGACTGCTGAATGATAGTAAACTCAGTAGTATTTTTATAAATGATGAGAAAAAGATTACCAAACTTCTTGCACCATTTCTTATGTCAGCCCTTAGTAAAATCCCAGAGTAAAATGCAAATTGAACAGTAGCAGATTAAGAATAACTAAAATGTGTGTGAAGGTGGCCGAGTGGAGTGGGGGCGGGGAGGGAGTAGTTGGAAGTTGCACTGGGGGAGGGGCCATGGGACAGGGTAGCCCAGTGGTAATTCAGCCAGGCCTAGGTCTCAGTGCCTGTCTACTACTGCCCAGACTGTGAGACACTAGTTCCAGCCCCTCTGACCCTCATTTCCTCATCTGTAAACTGAGGGCATTTACCCAGCTAAAAGTAATGCAGAATTAAATAAAAGGAGACACTTACTATACAGGGCACTCAGAGATTGGTGGTACATCCACACAGACCTCAAAACCTGAGATCATGAATGAAACCCACAGTGCTGCCAAGGGGAGGGGGCTGCCCCCTGTGGCTTAGGACTGTCCCTTGAGACACCACCCGTAGGTGCTGGAGGATGATTTCTAAACCACTGACTCAGGAGTAGTGCGGTATGATCCATACCTCAGGAGACCCTGAGGCTGGAGCAAGGTTAAGGGAGGCTGGGCGGGGGTATCACTGTTGTGGTTCTGGCCACCAAACCCTCACCCAAATAGGCTTTTGCATGCATTATTAGTAGCAAAGTTAAAACTGTAAAATTAGAAGCAGCATTGTTTCCCTGGAGTCACTGTGCTTCAGCACGCACCTGTAGCTACACCACTGGCATGCATAGCAGTCATAACCATGACCCTGTCTCAGGACGCCTCCCTGACTCCTGCCCCTCCTCAGAAGGAGAGGGCCCGGCTGCTGTGCGTATCTCTGTGACCTGCACCCACTTCCATTACTTAAAAAGAAAAAAAACAAACTTGATTGAGGTATGATTTGCATACCACAAAGTTCACCTATTTTAAGAGTTCAAACTCAATGATTTTTAGTAAATTTGCCAACTTATACAACCGTCAGCACAATCTAGTTTTAGATCAGTCTCATCGCCTCAATGAGATGCGCTGTGCGTGTTTACAGCCTCTCTCTATTCTGACTCCAGCCCCTGGTAGCCGCTGATCTACTTTCTGTCTCCCCAGACTGGCCTCTTCTGGCCATTTCATATAAATGGAGCCACACAATATGTGGTCTTTCAGGCATGGCTTCTTTCACTCAACACCATGTTTGTGAGGTTCCTCCAGGTTGGGAGAACTGAAGAGGGTGAGAGGGAGCCCAGCAGAAACCCTCATCATCTTGGAGATGGACACCTTGTCCAACCTCCTGCCCAGTTCACGAGTGTCCTCCACACCACAGTCCTCCAGCCTTGGTTTGTTCCCCTCTAGTGACAGTGGGCTCCCTCCCATGGAGCAGCCAGCTCCATACCCTCCAATACCTCCCATGCTGTTGAGGTGGGACTGGCGGAGCCTTCGAACTTGGGGAACCTGTGTCCACACCCTGCTCCTGCCTTTTAGCATATAGTTTAACCTGTTTGGATCTTGTTTTTTTCTGAACTATAAAATGAGAGATAAAAATAATGGTAATACCTTCCTTCCTCACAAGATGAAGATTTACAGTTAGTACTATACTTGACATATAATAATGTATTAACTAATTAATTATTTTATTTTATTTTTGAGATCAGGTCTCACTTTGTCACCCTCAGTAGAGTATCACGGTGTCACAGCTCACACCAACTTCAAACTTTGGGGCTCAAGCCATCCTTTTGCCTCAGCCTCCCGAATAGCTGGGCCTACAGGCATCTGCCATAATGCACAGCTAATTTTTCCATTTTTAGTAGAGACAGGTCTCACTCTTGCTCAGGCTTGTTTCAAACTCCTGAGCTCAAGCAATCCACTTGTTTAGGCCTCCCAGAGCCACCGCACCTGGTTCATAATAATGTATGTAGTAAAAATTATCTCACTCTCTGACATCCAAAACTCTTTCTGGTTTTGTCAATGTCAAGCCCAAATCTGCAACCTTGCCCTTTCACCCCGGGTCTCTGACTCTGCTCCTCAGCTATTCACAGGGGCCCAGAAGGTGTCAGAGATGTATTTTGGGCATTGATGATTAAATAGCAACAGGCAAGGGAACAAATAGGAAGAAAGATCATACAAGTGGCCAATATATGAAAATAGATACAAGCTCACGAGTAATCAGGAAATTGAAAAATCAGTTTACCCCACTTAACTGGCAAAAACTAAAAAACTGCTGACATGAAGGGTTGACAGGGTGCACTGTTGACAGGTGGGAATGGAAATCAGTGCTACCTTTTTGGAAGGCATATGACAGCTTCTGTTACAGTTTAAAATGGACATGGGCGGCACCTGTAGCTCAGTCGGCATGGCACTGGCCACATAACTGAGGGTGGTGGGTTCAAACCAAAAAAAGAGCTGAGCATTGTGGCAGTTGTCTGTAGTCCAAGCTACTTGGGAGGCTGAGGCAAGAGAATCACTTAAGCTCAAGAGTTTGAGGTTGCTGTGACACCAAAGCACTCTACCCAGGGCAAGAACTTGAGACTCTATCTCAAAAAAATAAATAAAATGGAAAAAGTCCAGGTGGATTGCCTGAGCTCACGGGTTGATGCCACAGCACTCTACCGAGGGTGACAAAACAAGATCTGTCTCAAAAAAAAAACATTAAATGGAAAAAGTCTGTGACTTGGTAGTTGCATTCTCAGTATCTGCTTCAGGAAAGCATCTGGTAAGGAAACATACCAGAATATTCTCTGCAGAGTTATTTATAAAAATAAAACAGAGGAAACAATCCGAATGCCCACTGATGGCTGAATAGCCCATGGTACAGCCACACTGTCCAATGTTACCCTGTTGGAAAAATGACAGACGGCATGATTAAGTGAAGGAAAAAGAAACAGTTGTAAAACAATTTGTAGGATGTAATTTGCTGTATTTTTTTAAACTGTATGTCTCTCTAAAAATTTTATATATGAAAATGCAAAGAGAAAGGTACCAAATATCAATGGTGGGGTTTTTTGTGAAGGATACAAGGATGTTAAGGATATATTTAGATCTCTCTCACTGAAGATATATTCAACTATTTCTTGTGATATTCAGATAAAATATTTTATTTATTTATTTATTTATGTATCTATTTATTTATTTATTTTTGAGACAGAGTCTCACTTTATCACCCTCGGCAGAGTGCTAGGGCATCATAGCTCACAGCAACCTCAAACTCTTGGGCTTAAGCGATCCTCTTGCCTCAGCCTTCTGAGTGGCTGGGACTACAGGTGCTCCTTACAACACCAGGCTATTTTTAGAGATGGGGGGGTCTCACTCTTGCTCAGGCTGGTCTCCAACCTGTGAACTCAGGCAATCCACCTGCCTTGGCCTCCCAGAGTGCTAGGATTACAGGTGTGAGCCACTGCACCTGGCCTATTTTATTTTATTTTTTGAGACAGAGTCACAAGCTGTCACTGTGGGTAGAGTGGTGCTCACAGCAACCTCTAACTTTTGGGCTTAAGTGATCCTCTTGCCTCAGTTTTTCTATTTTTAGTAGAGACAGGGTCTCACTCTTGCTCAGGCTGGACTTGACCTCCAAGCAATCCACCCGCCTCAGCCTCATATAGTGCTAGGATTAGAGGTGTAGGCTACCATGCCCAGCCAAATAAAATCTTTAAAGTGAAAAGTAAAAATCCCATTGTCATCCATGAACATTGTCCACCTGTTTTGAACATACATAGGATGTGAGACATGAAATTTTATACATAAAATGATCTTAACAATGTTTAAAGTGCATACCATAAAGACTGGAAGGAAATACAGAAAAATATAAACGATAATATTCTCTGGGAGGTGGGGCTTCCTGATGATTTCTCCCCTCCTTGTATTGTCTGCGTGTCTCATGCGTTTAGCATTAAACACATGTCACGTATGTCTTTTCCAGGCCCACCTTGCGGCCTTCTCCCCCTCAGCCTACTGGTGGCCGGTGTCCTGGTTCTGCTGGTGTCCCTGGGAGTGGCTATCCACCTGCACTGTGAGTAGTCGCTCTTGGGCCATCCCTCTTGGCACCCCCGTTTGTTGTTTGAGATGTCCCTGGGATACTTTCTTCTCTAGGGAAGCAGAGCAGATGGCGGTGTGGCAGGAGTTTGCCCCCGGAGAACCTGTGCTGTTTCTAGAGGTGACTCCTGGCCTATAGTCAAATGGCCAAAGTCCAAGACCACCCTGTCTCTGGAGTCAGACACACCTGGGGTTAAACCCGGTGCTGACTAGTGTCCTTCCTGGTCTCTCTGAGCCTCAGCCACCTCACCAGGGAGCAAAGCATCTCCTGCCTCCCAGAGCTGCTGTTTGAAAAGTCCTGCCCCAAGTCCTCAGTACGTGGCATGTATCAGTAAGTAGAAACTCACATGAGCAGTTGAGACGAAAGCCCAGCCCCCAGAAGAGACTGCTAGTGGAGCTTTTGGGGGGTTTTTTTGTTGTTGTTTGTTTGTTTTTTGAGACAGAGTCCCACTATGTCACCCTCAGTAGAGTGCCTTGGCTTCACAGCTCACAGCAACCTCAAACTCCCAGGCTTTAGTGATTCTCTTGCCTTCGCCTCCCAGGTAGCTGGGACTATAGGTGCCCACTGCAACGCCTGGCTATTTTTTGTTGCAGTTGTTGTTTAGCTGGCCTGGGCCGGGTTCGAACCTGCCAACCTCGGTGTATGTGGCTGGCACTGTAACCACTGTGCTAAGGGCACCAAGCCAAGCTAGTGGAGTTTGATTTGTGTTTCCAAAAGCTAGAAATCCTCTCCCTCAATGAGGCTGCAGGGAAACTCAGAGACAGCTGCTGCTCTCAGCCATTCCAGAGATGGGCCCATCTTCCAGAGGCTCCCCTGGACTCTGCACAGCAGTGGGCTCTTAATAAAAATGGTGCGCGGGAGGAGAGGCCTGTGCGGCGGCAACTCTGCTCCCTGTGCCGCCTCAAGCAAGCTGTGCCACCTTGAGCAAGTCCCTTCCCCTCGCCATGTTTC